ACAATTAAATGACGTTAATATTTTTTGTTGCCTTCATTGTAGAGTGAGAAAGTAAAAGAGGAAAGAGAGAGAGGAGGGGACCGGAGGGAAGAAGAATAAGGGAGAAGAGAATTCTACTCAGTATATAATAGGCACATTTGCACACTCCTATTTCTTAATGTGTTATGACAAAATTAAGGACCACTGCAACACAATATATAGCCATGAAAAACATGAAAGATGAAAGAAGTTGTTGGAATATGATATGTTGATTAGATGACCTTGATTGTCATTTTTTTTAACAAACGATATTATTTACACTAAGGGAGAGATGACGAGCTTAGCCTCATATTGAGCTAGCAATAATGTGGTTCAAATTCGCATTTGGCAAGAATATCGAATGGCAAGAATATTGAACCTAAGACCTCCCACTCACAAATAAAAAAGAATATCACTAGACTGTAATACTAAGTAGCGACCTTAATTGACATTGAACCGTAATTAAGTAATTAATTTATTATTGGTTTCTAAAGAAAAATTTTACGGTACCTTTTAAAGGTAGAGGATGTAATGTGTGAATGTGATTACATTACAAAATATCTTCTGATTAGAAAATACTAGTACTATAAATATCATGAAACGGTAAGTATGTTGAATGAAAATGGAAGATACTCCCAAAGAATAAAAACTAGTTGGTAACGGCTACTAAATAATTTTTAAGGTGGTTATTTTCTTCTTACATTCATCCTAGTTTTTATCATTCCTTCATGCTATCAATCATGACTCAGCAATTAACTTTCGGATCATTTTGATTATGGTCCCTGGTATATCTAATTGTTAGACCAAAACTTTCTTTGCTTAAATAGTTTGAAAAATACTAAAATGATTAAAGTTTTTCAATTTTAAAATTGATATATGCTGACATGTAAATAATTTAATATTAAAATAATGATGTGAACAAAAGTCGAAGGACCTTGATCAAAGATGAAAGAGAAATAAATTTTCAATTTTTTGTTTTAAACAAATGATATTATCTACACTAGGTAGTGGGAGAATGAGTTAAGCCTCACTATGAGCTAGCAATAATATGGTTCAAATTCGCCTTTTAGTGAGAATCGAACCTAAGACTTCTCACTTACAGGTGAAGAAGAATATCACTAGACCGTAGTACTAAATGACAATAAATTTTCAAATTAATGAAAAAGAAAAATAAGGATGAAAACCTAATTTATCATTAACTTTCTACAAACCCATTATTAATAACATATTGTTAGGGCACGTGAGAATTCGTAACCTACAATTCTAATGGACCATTGTAACAAGCTAGGCAAAGTTGTAAGGCTTTACAACATGAAAACTAAGTTGAAGTCACATTTAAAGTAAGCTCAAAACAAATTTATCATCTAGAATGTCTTCTCATTTTTACCATGTTCATCTCAAGCATAATCAACATTAACACAATAGTACTCCATTCAATGTTCAAAATTGTCATTCTATTGTTGACTAACTTTTTCTAAAAATTACAAGATAAAGTTAGAGCTGGATTGAAATTACTTCTCTATAGAATATTCATACTCTTAAGTGCGTTGATAGAAGTGTTTTTTTTAGAAACATGAAGCACTTTCAAATTCTTTCTGATCCTAAATCAATTTTAAACTTTTTCTTTTGTACTCAAATATATGCAGTCAAAAATATTTGTTGTAAAAAACAATTTTAACCTTTTTTGAACAATCTCAAACATGCTCTTAATGATTTTTACTACTCACCTTCAATTTACTTTTAACATAATAATTCAAGGTATATACAATGCTTAAAATATTCATGAAATTGTCAATATTTCAGTTGAACTATCCGAAAAATCAATAATTGATATAGAAAGAGGGGGTGAAACACAAATTTAACCCTATTGGCAAGAGATAGGAAAATTAATGATATCAATGATATTTGTTAGGAATATAATATCAATGGCTGTGATATTGACAAGTGTCATTAGATTACATATGCAATTATAAACTGTTGTAATAATTATAGTTTAACTTGTAAGCTGTTATAGGTACATATACTAAGGTTCTAAAGGTGTGGCAGTTGGTCGAAATGAAATACACTTCCTTTCTTTCTTCTTCTCTAAGAAATCTCTCTCTCTCTCTGTAGTTCATCTTCTCTCTGATTTCTACTTTCTGTGATTGATTAATCTTGGTTTACAAAACTTACCACTTCACTACTGAAATTTTACTGAAATTTATTGTAAATTTTGAACTTTTGAACATTTTTTGAGATTTTTTTCTCTAATATTGACTAAATCTGAATGAGATTATATACACACCTCGTTGCAAATTTTCATAATTTCCGTCAAAAACAACATATAGAGATATCGATATATCCATTAATATTTCTATAAATTTGTATATCAATATTTCCACCGAATTTTAAACACTGGATATATATATGAATGTTTGAAAGCAGCTGCATGGATTATACGTACACTCCTGAGTGAACCAAAGATTAAGCACTTTCATGGGCAATCGTATAAGCTCCTTAAGTGGGTTTTTGTTTTTTCCCTTCCTGTCCTTATATGGCCTGAAGATGTTTGACCTTACCGGGACCCAATTCATTGCCATCCACTTCAAGCCAACGCTTATCCCACGCACCAACATTTGATGTTGCAGACACGCAATAATATATATCTATTTATGTTTTTATACTCTAGCATTAGTATTTTATGAGCTTTACAACATTACATTGGCCTTTTACCCCTAAGCATAATAATGAGAAAATGTTATATTCATGAAGTTGCCATTTATATATTTGTATAAATTTTTCTTCGACATTTCCAACTAAGAGAGATTTTTCAATGTACGTAAAATACGGAGCGATATCACACATATAATGATACAATGGAGAGACACTTAAAAAAATCTTTCAAAGGTAAAATAGTATCTCATTAAAATTTTGTATGGTGACAAGGAACTAGGTGGGGCTCGGACAGATCTGAAAGGATTAGGAACGTTTTGTTGGCTTAATCGATTATTGTGGGTGGGTTATTTAAAGAAAAACCTAGGGTTTGTTTGTATGAGTTTCAGCCGCATATCGATTGATTGATTATCCTGCAACTCGATCGATTGTTTAACTTTTAGAGTTTTTGCTTAGGGGCATAGATAATTGAAATAGTGGTGGAGTTTGGTTGGAGAGGTTCCGCGACTGGAGATTCCATTGGTGGTTTTTTATTTTGAGAATTTAAGGTGTGCCATATGGACGCCACACATGCACTTTTAAATACACATCAGCATATTTGACAATTTTTGTGACAGAATAAATGAAATCAAAGTAAAATGGAGCAAATTTTGAGTTTCAAAGAGTAAAGTGACGACTTTTGAGTTCTAGAAAGAAAATTGAGATCAAAATCGAGTTTCATAGACCATAGCAAAAAACAACCTTAGATTTTATATCTCTTACGGAAAACTGATCTCATGATCAGTATCAACGTTTTATTGCTTAGTTTTGTGTCACTCTAAATCAAGAAGATAGTAACTCTTTGACCTGATGACATGTAGTGAACTGTTAGATCTTTAACCATTTAATACCATCTTAGGCATCTGGTAATCCTGATTACTGTTAAATGCACTTGAAAATGGGTGATTTTTTTTAAACGATATTATCTACACTAAAAGGGTGAGAGTTGAGTTTAGCCTCACAATGGGCTAGCAGTAATTGTGGTTCAAATTTGTTTTTTGGCGAGAATCGAAATTAAGACTTCTCACTTACAAGTGAAGAGGAATACCATTAGACCAGTTATAAGTGGCATAAATTTTGAATTTTTTGGTATAAATTTGTTTGTTTTCTAAAAGTTTAAGGAGAGGCGAGGCCATGACATACTACAAGTCTTTTTGAGGACTTACAAAGAGGATTTAGACATTTTCTTGGTTTTTACAAATCATTCACCAAGAAGGATTGTCGGCAACAGGACTCCAACCTAGGCCTCGTTCTAGCAAAGAGAACGATTTTTATCAACTCAATCAACCCTTGTTGGCAATTTTTTTTTATTATAAATTTCAAATTTTTTAAAAATAAATTTCAAACACATTTTACGCTTTAAAATGTTTATTCTTGTAGTATAAAAGAAAAACTAATGCTAGAGAGACCAAATTTAGAGTAATGCTAGGGAAACTAAGTTTGGAGACTAAATTTTGAAAACTAAATGACATGTAAGTTGATGATTGATTTATTACTTAAGTGCTGATAAACGTGCTCATTTGTATTAGTGACACATCATTTCGTTTGCAATTTTAGTCTCCAAATTTAGTCTTCATAGCATTACTCCCAAATTTATAGATAAAATTTGCTTAACTAAATAACATGAAAGTTGATGATTGGACTATAACTTAAGTGTTGACAAACGTGTTTATTTTTATATGTGACACATCATTTAATTTGCAAATTTCGTCTATAAATTTAGTCTTTATATATGACACATCATTTTTAACGATTGAATTATTACTAATTGATTGATTAACGTGTCTATTTCTTATTAATGACACATCACTTAATTTGTAAATTTAATCTCTCTAATATTACTAAAAAAAAAATAGAAACAAAATAGGTGTTTGTGTTTACAAGCGCCTTATGCGTGCGTATAAATGGAAAATGGGTATTGGGTTGGTGCAGACAGAAAAGATTATATAAGGGGAAGAGTGGAGCGGCCAGCAGAAGGCAGGAGGAAGGAATAGTAAACATATCACTTCCAAAGGGGCCACCCCATGTGAATTCTCCCTTCTGATTACTACCACCATACACACACACCCCATTTCCTCCCTCCTCCTCTTCTCTCTCTATCTTCTACATCGCTCTCTCTCTCTCTCTCTCTCTCTCTCTCTCTCTCTCTCTCTCTCTCTCTCTCTCTCTCTCTCTCTCTCTCTCTCATTTCCATACTTTTTACGTCCCATCACCAAACGCTCCTCTCTCTCTCTTCCCCACCTTCCCCCCCCCTCCCTCTAAAACCCTCTTTCCGTTTCTCACTCATCCAAACAAAAAACAATAACCCCCCTCCCCCCCCCCAAAAAAAAACCAAGGAGATTCCCGTGAAAAGAGTTTCGCAGTATACTAACACCACCATTCTCTGAACCCGATCACCCCAAATATTCAACCCTCATATGGAGGAGGGCAGAGAGAGAGGGACACAAACAACCCACAATTCAAAGGTTCAGCTTAGAAACTAGAGAGAGAGGGAAGAAGAAGAAGAAAAAACCAAAAAACCTGTATATATAAAACACCCAGTTGAAAAGTATTTAGCAGAAGAGCCAAAACAATTAGACAAAGTGAGAGTAATTTTATTACACATGGATTCTGCTTCAGGTGGAGCCGGACTGCCCGACCCGAACGTCAGCAGCGGCGAGGGTCCGTCGTCTGCGTCAAGGTCGGCAGCCCCGGGGGCTACCGCTGAGCCCCCGTCAGCATCTCCGGCCCCGCCAAGTCGCTACGAGTCGCAGAAGCGGCGGGACTGGAATACCTTCCTGCAGTACCTCAAGAACCACAAGCCTCCGCTCACGCTGGCCCGCTGCAGTGGGGCCCACGTCATCGAGTTCCTCAAGTACCTTGACCAGTTCGGGAAGACCAAAGTCCACGCCACCGGCTGCCCCTACTTTGGACACCCCAACCCTCCCGCCCCGTGCGCCTGCCCGCTCAAGCAGGCGTGGGGCAGCCTAGACGCGCTCATCGGACGGTTGAGGGCCGCGTACGAGGAGAACGGAGGACGGCCCGAGTCAAATCCCTTCGGTGCTCGAGCGGTGCGGATTTATTTGAGGGAGGTGAGGGAGGGACAGGCTAAGGCCAGAGGAATTCCCTACGAGAAAAAGAAACGGAAACGGTCGACCGTCACTGCCACTGCGGTTGTAGGGAATGTGTCGGTGGCGTCCACTCAAGGCGTCGGTGGTGATGGTGATGGCGGTGGCGGTGTTGATGGTGGCGGTTCAAGTAACACCGCTGCTGCTGCTACTAGTACTGCAGTATAGGTTTCTCTCATCACTAATTTCCATCTCTCTTTTGTTTTCAATTTTTTTTTTAATCCTTCTATATTTATATCTTCTCTCTTTTTAATTGTGATTATGAGCCATGTATATCAGGCGATTCTCTTATAATTGGATCGACCAACCCCATGAACAAAAATATTTAGGAATTTCCATCTCTTACTAGTTAATTCCCAAGCATATCTATTGATCTTCGTCATCATCTGCAGAAAGTGTTGTCCCATATCACAAAGTGAGAGTCTGCATGCTCATAGTCGTCCTCATTTTAATTTTGTTTTGTTAAATCATATAAACATAGTTATAAAGAATATGCAAACTATTGCAAAAACAATCCCAACTATTATTGTGACTTGGATTTTATAATCATTGCTGTTTTGCAAATGATCATAGGGATAAACAATTAACTAGTCCAATGTTTAACAATATTATTTATTTGGGTTTTCATAATCTTGTGGATATTTATGTTTGCTTTGATTAAAAAACAAGTACTACTGTGAAGGTCACAAGTCATGGGCTTTTTATATAACGGTGTATTGTGTATGATTTTTGGTCGTTGAAACTGTTGCTTCGGTGCCTGCCATAACACCGGAGTACAGTAGAATTTTCGCACGTCATAGGGAAACCAGGTTACTGGCAATAGGGCAAATGCATATCTGGTACTGGCAGTCCCGGCTTCTTTGCATTGATCCGCTGGGATTCAAACTCAATTAATCGTTCTATATATCTGTCTCTGTATATATCTGATTCTATGTGTCATCGTGCCCACGTGCGCTTCTGATTCACTCATTTTTTGCACTTTCAGTTTCAGTTGTTTTCTTTCCCTTTATATCTTTTTCTTCAATCTAAGATTTTGCTTTCAGATTTTTTAGATTAATATTTAGGGTTTTTTTGGTATTTAACTCTCTCTCGTATGAAAACAACATTTCTTGCTGTGATGAAAGCAAACAACAAAATGATACAGGCTACAAACTTACAAGCACCAATAAGAAGAAAAAAGTGGTAAATAAACAATACATTGTGATTGCTGCTGTTATTTTATTTGGAGTAACCTCCACCTTGTTATGAAAACGACCACTAGCCAAACACTTTTGCTTCTCATTTTATTTGATATATATATACATCTTACTATATCTCTTACAAATTATATATTATATATTATATATATGTATATGTACAATATATTTTTATATTGGTTTATATTTTGTTATAATAGCAGTAGACCCACCAATCACTAAAAAACAAAAGCCATTTCTGAATTTCACCCCATATTCCATATCCAATGGCAAGGTCATGATGCTACATTATTGTCCAATTGTGATGGTGCTAAAATTATTTTCTACTGTTTTTAAACTTTGTTTGGTTCTCTTTTCCCTTGCTTTATTTTTTCTTATTTATAAACAAGATTGATCCTTATGCACTCAGCAGGTGCTTTTCACTTTCTGGCTTTTTGAAGAATCGCAATTGCGATTGTCCCCTCTTCTTTATTTTTCACTTTCTGTTCGCCCGTTTGCTCACTCTTTTACTTCCCCTCTTCACACGTTGGAAGCAATTTGATCCATTTCTGACAAGGGAAGAAGACTACTCTTACAGAGAAGTAATATACTCACTCCTCACAGTGAAACAGATTGTATTTCAAGTAATGCTAGAGGAGTTACAATTTTTCAGTAACTAATTATAAGTACAAGTAAAGGGTTTAGGGTTTACATGATATGATATGAACAGAACATTATTTTGTTTAGATTGGACTACTTTTCCCTCGCAACCACTTTTGTTACGAATTGGATTGGGCCATTTCATGTTCCAAATATAACTTTACCCCAACAGTAAATTTTTATTTACTTTTTGTTAGCATCCATGCGTTGAGCGTTGTAAGGGCGAATCTAGGAATTAGGTTCCCACTTGAAATGTAGTTGTCTTCTGAAGCTCGATACGACGTTGAATAAAAATTAACTCACCACCATCACTAGGAGGCACATATAACACAAAAAAATTTAATTGTAGAGCTGCCAGCTTGGGAAGAAGACGAAGAAACAGGGGAAATTCTATATATGTTCTAAGAGAAATAACTATGAATTTTTTTAAAGTTTGTCATTTAATATGTCTTCTAAATCTGACCTTCCAGCCCTGTACATGTGATTTATTTCTTTGTTCATGTAACAATATTGACCTAAAGATACAATTAAAGTGAGACAAATTGCGAGGATGTACGCTCAACACACAATGTGTATGGCTTTGCAAAGTACTTGACAAAATGCCTCCATAAAAAAATTGGTGTTGCTCACATTATTTTTGAGATTTCATGAGGACCTATATCCGTCACTGCTTAATTTTGCCCACCGTGAACTAATTTTCTAGTTTCACCCTAGATTTAACTGATAAATAGCTTCGGGATTTAAAATTGTAGAAACACTTTTGTAAGAGAAACTAGGAGTAAAAAAGAAGGAAACAAACATCTAGTTTTGGGTAAAGGAAAAGGATCCTCACCGGATCTTTTTCTTGGGGATCCTAAAGGTCATGTAATTATGTCCGTTTATCGTACATCATACGATCAATATCGTTATGTACCATTTATATTTAATTTAAATTTAAAATAATTTTTTATCGCACGATATACGATGAACATACATGATTACACGATCTTCGAAATCCTTAGAAAAAGGATCCGGCGAGGATCCTTTTCCTTGGGCAAAAGTAAATAAAGAACTTGCTAAATCTCTTTGTGTTTCGATCGAGAAGTGTATTTGAATGCCATGTATATGCTACAGCACGTGGGTTAGAGAATTCTGAGCGGAATTTAAGTGCAAAAGGAGAAATGTTCACAAGAATTCGATTGTAGAAAGAGAAAACCCTCTTGGCATTTGCAAGCTTCTGAGAGGGCGGGCAATTGGCTTGGCATGGCATGGGAGGGTGATGTTTTTTAAGCACATGCAGGCTGCACCGAATGGTCTTGTCCGTCACTACTGAGGCAGTCGGCAGTACCTATAGTATACGTATTTATGTCGATGCCATATATAAATATGATTCTTTGAGATATATCTTTTGATGTCATAACTCATAAGGGTTCCGGTGATGAAAGAAGAAATGTCTCTCGCCAAAAGATTAAGACCTAGTTTGGGAGTGAGGTGCTTAAAAAAAAGCACCCATGAAAAAAAGCTGTGAGGGTTTTAGGTGTTTGGTAAACTGAAAAAAAAAAAAGCTTATTTTGGAAGCTGCTGTGAGAATAAGCTGAAATCAAAGGAAAAAGCAGAAGCTACCATTTGCAGCTTTGGAAAACTGGCTTTTTTTCAAAGCACATGGAGCTACAGTGCTTCTTTAATGAAAATACCCACTATTAGACTGTTTTTTTTTTCCAAAAGCACTTTTACAAAAAAGTTTACCAAACACTCTGCTGATTTATTTCACAGCCGCTTATTTTCACAGCACAGCCGCTTATTCTCACAGCAGCTTTTTTTTCAAAACACAGCAATAGCAAACCAGCCCTAAGAAATCTTACAAGGGCTTAGTAAGATCATTCTTTCTATAATGTAGAATAGTTGGATGGAATTTCAACTTTTTCATGATATCAAAACAAATTAGTTTACATCTAAAACTTTAACGACCATATACCATCCGCGTCATTCAATATGTATTTGTTAATAAAGAGTTCTTTTCCGATCTCTAGGAACAATGCAGGCCAAGAGAAGGCCCAGCTAAGGCCCAAGGAAATGAGAAGACCAAGTCTCAAAGATGAAAGGAAGACCCCAAAGGCCCATGGGGATAGAAAGGGATTTCGTCGAGCACTATAGCTGACTGCCAAAGGCTCAACTCGATTAGGTTGCATAAAGTACTGGCATGTGGGTGGACCGATAACTTTATGGTACGTGGGCATCTCTAACAGTTGACGACTAAAAGTCAGTAGCGAAAGACCCAAGTTGGACAAAAAATGGGTTAGGAAAGTGGCTTGGCAAGATCTGGTTGAGTAATCAAAACCGACCGAGAGAAATTGTCTACTTTCTCTCAAAAGGTGTGCATTTGATTAAACACCCATCACTTCACCGCCGAATATTGAACTGGTAGTGTAAACGTGTCAGTGAGTTCACCTACACACAGAGGCGCAATAACTGCTCGATGGGAGGAACCCAAGGAACAAGGGTTCGCTAAGGGCCTATATAAAGGGGTAAAGGTCTTAGTAATAGGGGTCGGACTATGTTTGAGAGAAAAATATATGTATTTTACCAATGCTATTTTTACTTGCAATTAATAGAATATGATGCTCCATAGTGGATGTACGTAAGGGGTGAACCACTTATATTTGTATCTTTTTCATTCCAGTCCATATCTTAAGCTCAATCTAGGGTTTGAGACCTTTGATTGTTTCACTTATAGTGTGTGAGTCCACTAAGATACGCCTGGGTTTGACTTACAAATTTTGAGCATTAATAGTATTTTTCATGTATTTGGCTTGTGCGTGCTATACGTGTGAGGGGTGTAAGGGATTTGTAAAATGTCATCAATCAAAAAATTAAGAAGCCTTACAAAAGTTAATAAGGAGTTGCCGCCCATCGTTGTTGCCAATTAATTTTAGGGTGAAACTTTTACTTCATTCAATTAGATATCTTTGGTGTTTTTATTATTTTAATGGATAAGTACATTTTACACTCTCTAGGTTTAAGGTTTTTTTTTTCAAAATTTGTCATTATGTTTTATTTTCCCCACATTACATCCTGAAGTTTTAAAATTGTATCAATTTTGTTTGTATCATACTTAGGGCTTCTGTATTTAGATCTCGTATAAATACTCAGGGGACTTAAATGTAATTATATAATAAAGGAAGAGGCAAATATGTAATAAGTGAGGAGCCCTTATTCTATAAAAGGACTCCCCACCCTCACAATTAAGGAGAGGCCATTTCTAAAGTCTTCTCACCCCTCTCACATCTCCTTTCATATTCAGAGGTTCTCTCCCTCACCTCTCAGATAAATACAATAATCAGTGTGGACGTAGCCCAAACATTGGGGTGAACCACGATACATCTTGTGTTATTTACATTACTTGCAAATTCACGGTTGGATTTACGTTGTTCCAAGACCTCTGGTTTGTGCATCAACATTTGGCGTCGTCTGTGGGAATCGACACAAAAAGCTATGTTGGTTCTTTCCCATTTTTTTTTTCATCATAACCACTGTCCACCGTGGATCCATAAAAAATCAAAACACCCAAATCTCATTTCAGAGATACCACAGTTTTTCCAATCACTTCCTAGAAAAACCCAGAAACATAAAAGATCCAGATTTGAAACACTCAA